TTATCGTGCCAACTGCTTTAATTTATATACCTACAGTACCTGTCCTCCTTTGAACTGACGACAGAAATTGTGTAGCTCTGTAATCTCTGTAGTGAATGACGGCCAATCCGGTATCACCAGCTGCTTCTTTAACGCCTTTCCAATCACTCCGATACTACTGCCGACGCATCTGCAAAGTACTGATATTCGAATTGATCATGACATATCTGGAAATTTCGAATGTTTTTAGGACTTATTAGATTTAAATACGTGGTGGCCTCGTTGCGCATATTCCACAGTGTGGCAATTAGCAATTGTGTCCTTTCAAGTTCCTGACGATGACTATCGGGCGCGTCGTAATCGTACGTGGGATCCCCTGCGAGGAAGGCCACATTCAGCCGGTGAGGGGGGGGGGGGTGAGTTGCATTTACTTTTGAGAAAAATGTTTTCGATTGTTTGTTCGGTTTCTACTTCATCAGAATCAACACGTACATACTCATTTCACCGCTGCCCCCTAGCACGACGGTAGTTTGTTTGGAGCGGAGGGTGAGGTGGAGGGTGGGGGAGTGGGAGATTCTGCAGAAAACTCCGAAAATACAGGTAGAAAGTTGGGAGAGTTCACGAAGATGAGGATAGGGAATGGGTTAGGATCGCATCAGCGTAGGAAATTTCGAGGGGGGGAGGGGTGCATTTTACGAAATTTTCTCCAACAGCAGGACTTGGATGACATTGACAAACAAGTAGCAGGATCAAAAGGCAATGAAGTGAATATAACATAATGGAATCGTGGAAAACTCACATCTTGAATGCCTCTCTATCCAGGAAAAGATGCTCTTGATCAAAGACACCTTGGTCCACATGCTCAGCTTCTCGAACCTGAAAAGCAGTACTTCTGTCAATCCGTTACCTTCAGAATAACAGCCTACCTGTGCAATCACATTTGCCAGCCGTGGGTCATCCTTTCTTATGCCAGCGTCGGTCAATTCCTGCAAACGTTTCATTGACAGGATGGAAGATTATGACAACTTCCGGTTAGATGGCGGCGTGTGGCGACTCAGCAATTAAGCTAAGTGATTTGATGCTTCTCCATGTGATCGCTAGTATAAACATGCTCCTGCGGACCCCCCTTACTCTCTGTTTACCACTTGGGCACAGCGGATTCACCAAGTGCTTTTGACCTACATAGCACGTGGTTGGGGACAGTTCGGCGACAAGGGAGGGGAACGGGTTATATTGCACCCTCCCCCGTTACTCTTTACGTGTCGACCCATCTAGGAGGCCATTTCGTGAGTTTACAAGAGCTGATAGGTTAAAACATGGTGGCTCGACGAGCCCGATCCAGCTTCACAAGAGTTCACACGTTTCACCACAATACGACTTGGCGGGAACTAGTGAAGCAGCGAAAGTGCAAAATGCACCCTCGTCGCCGAACTGCGCCCCTAACCCTTCTATATCAGGTGGGGAGGAATTCCTCACGACTTGTACACAAAAATCTTAAACCTTGCATTACAACAAGTCGGTACGCCGGGAGAGGTAATTCTCATTTCCATCGTGATAGCGCGCTGGGGAGGCAGACTGCCGAACATCATTCATAGCATTCGCATTATATCCCTATTCATGGGCAAGGAGATGTATGTTAGTGACAGGTGGCAACGCGGGCTCACCACGTGCGGCGCGGTCCTGGGCTCAAATCCCGGGTCGACTCCCGCCCAGGCCAACCAAGCCTTCTACCCTCCGGGACGGTAAATTGGTACCAGATTCGTCTGGGAGGATAAAACACTGACTTGTACATCGGCTGGCCCCCACAAGTCATTGTATAGGCCACATCGCATTCAGTGAGCCACTAGGATTCTGAATGGCAGTGGAATGTGTGCCGCATCCCACAAAGGGATTGATAAACGTCAAGACTTTATCCTTTACCAGTCGGATCGCCCGGCTGACGCCGAGCTCTCCTCCTTCTTTTTAGCTCGGCTTCGCCGAGCTGGCCTGGCTTCGCCAGGCGCACATCATAACGGGATGGAATTAGTTAATTGTATGAGCTGCTCATATTGCGCGGTAGTGGTCGAATCATATTAGACAGAGTAACCTAACGAAATCTGCACTTCTCGGAGTTGCGGAAGGCGTACTGGTTTCGGCCATAACGCCCATTCTATACGTAGATTTCAGAAATAGATAGGAAGTACAGAATTATCAACATATGTTGCACAGTAGATGAACACATTCCCTTTTTATCATGCATTGCAACACCAACGATGGGCGATTAACTTGTCATTAACATGAAATCCACCTGCTAAGGTTGCATGAATGGCTGCAGATATTTAGCGTTCATTGAATATCTTACAAACCACTTCGTTATTCGTTCTCCTCAGTGATTTAATGTTGAAAAGCAAAAAAAATTTGAATACTCACTGAAAGCATAAAGTGTGTTCCAATATTGGAGTCCCCCCTCCCCTGGCCCCATCCCTATGGGGGATGGTACATTTTCTAGTGCTATCAGAGTGCTGTGGCGAACAATTTGCGGCTTACTGATGAGGCCTTTTTTGGCAGAGGCTTTTTTTTTTGTAGTGGTCAGAGATGTCGTGAAAATGTCCCCTTATCTTTACTTATCAATTGATAAAATTGCTTGTCACCCGTCATCAGTGTCGCTATTACTAAAACTCCATAATTTCGTGGTGTAAAGGCTCCAGCATTTGATTGAACAACAACTGCAAAAATCTCTATGAGGCCCTATCAACTGTTATCATTTCTTGTCACCCGCCGTCGCATTCTCCACCTTCCCCTTGATATCATTTGCTGAACTGATGCTGTGTACCGCGTTATGAGTATGTTGTCTGTTTCCACTCTAACTCCCTTTATCAGCGGCTAGCAGTTCTTGTCACCCACATATTCCTGTGCCATAACCTATATCATACCTTGAAAACAGCTGCCACGCCAGCAGCTCGTGCAATGGCTCGGAGTGTACCGAATGGTTGTCTTATATAGGGGAGGCTGTTATCCTAATCAAAACATTGGATTGATACATCTGCAAAAATCGGTTCCGGTTTGCTTAGCGGTCGTTCTTCCTTCCACTAATTCTAACCCGTGAAGCATTTTGCGGACGGACAGACATACATATATACTTACATACATACAAACCGACACACAAAGTTACTGGTTTATAGAATAGAAGGATTTACCCTACTTATGTCACATAGGTTCATAGGGTTATATCCAGGATTCCAGGGTTACAATGATGCCCCTCCCTGCTCCTCGTCTCCACTTCTTCATCCAAAAACTGTCAAAGCGTCTTCAGCGCGCTGCACCTTGGTCGGGGTTTGCACACTGCACTCAAACCCTCCATCGATGATAAAAGCGAGAATTGTAATACAAAAATGAATTTCCGCTTGCGATGGCTATTTTTAGAGCCATTAGATGTTAATTTGTTTTCACGACTTTCTACAAAATCAATGAGACAAGTACACAGGAGATTATTCGGCGTTTTCTTGACGAAAATAACATTCATTTTCGCCCTAGCCATCAACGAAGGAGCGCCGTAGCCACCACGATGGCAATAATTCCCGTCGTAGCACGGCCCTCGAGTAGTAGCTGCCTATAGACAATTTCTGCCCACAAAAAAATTAGATGAGCTCCCATATGTCATTGAGCATTGAAAGTCCCGACGCTTCTAAGTGCAGTTAGAATTTTTTTATGGAAAGTTCAGATCGGGAGTAGGTCTGGCTAGGAAGTCCAGTGATGTTCTGAAAAGAGATTTTACTAGAAAGTTTCCCGGAGGTCCTGCTCGTTTAACACGAACATTACAACCGCTTGACGCGAAAACACTTGGTTTTGCGGAGGCTTTATGGGGTGACGAGGCCAAACCTACAAAGAGAGTTCAGCGTGTATTGCGCGAGAAATTGGCCTTTCCTTTGGATATATATACATACATACATCTTTGATAAGAAGCTGATATGCAGTCATTCAGGGAGTGTCGAAAGGCATGGAATGAGCCCAACAGCGGCCCTTTCGTCACTGGTTATTTTCTTCCTGAATAGATCACTAACCGATCACTGTTGGTAGAGAGGGCTATCGGATATCGGCTCATGCCGCCTCTCCTCACCCCGCCCCGATTTAATTGCGGTGAACAACCTTTAGTTTTCATCAGTATCAAATGACGCGGCGGGACATAATTTCTTTCCGCGAAAACTGCCCTATCATCGGCTGGCCTGCAAGTTACTTATTTGTTGGGTCACATGGCATTCAAAGGTCACCACGATTCTAACTGGAACAAGGATGCATAGTGTAAACAAGAAAGAGATTGCTCAACGGCAACATTTGCCTAATCGTTTCGATGAGTATGATTGAAAACTAAGTTACCATTCACACGACGTCACCGAACTATGGTGGACAAACCAGTATTCACCTGAATGGGCTGCACACACGATCTCAATTCTTACCTGGGCCATCCCCATATTCCTTCTTTGCAGGATCAGAAAATCATTACATTCGGTGGGTCACATGTTGATGAAGCTTTCTTGTGACATGACTAACCCTATGTCAGAATCACGCTGAGGGAATTGGCCCGTAGATACGACCCTCTCTTCATAAAAGGGCATACGCCTCCTCTTTCTTTTTTTCATGATTGCTGCCTCCCTTCGTACGTAACTGCCTGCTAGGACTTGGCTACTCAGAATCCGTAGATACGACCCCAGCCCCACCATGAAAAAAAATGGGCCCATACGTCCTACCCCTATGCGGCCGCTTATAAAACTTGGCTACTTATCAAGGAAGTCCGCCAAATTACCATGGAACTTTGAGTGAAGACCTGGGATAGATCGCATAAAGTCTGTAAGGTAATTGCAAACACATAGGTAGCAAGAACTGCCAACTGCCATTTCACAAGCAACTTATGAGCAGGTAAGGTTGTAATGGTGCAGTAGGGTGAGGCTTGGTGGTGAGCTGTGAAGCATAAGCGAGGAATCGCCTACGTCGAATCGAGTCGTCGAACGTCGAACCTTACCACTGAACCACCACGACTCGATTCGGACGTGTGTCAATTCCCTTGGTTAGGCTTCACAGCTTCCTCACCCAGAGCCTCCACCCTGCTGCACTGACTAACAACTTTTACCTGCTCATAAGTTTGTGAAATGCAGGTTGCAGTTTTGCTATCTATATTTGTAAATAACCTTATAGACTCTATCGATCTACCCAGGTCTCCATTCAAAGTTCCATGGTAAGTTGGTGGACTTCCCTGGTTAAAATCCATTATTCAAGAAACTATGCCGTTGAGGATTTCTCCTAGCGACGACGAAACTACATTTCAGCGCAAGTTGCCACTTTCAGGGGCCATAACTTCGTTCACACATAATATATGGAGGAGTTTTAGGGGCGCTGGAATTCTGCTGCAGCTCAGTTACCTAGCGGAAAACGCTGCTGAGCAACTGAAGGGTCTCTCCAACTGTCAGAATGAGTGTTTCTATTTCGGTTTCCTATAACTCATTCCAGGACCCAGGAAACGCCTACAGAACACCTCTTCTACCTGTTTTAATGTCAGCTGATGGCCAGAAGGATTGATAAAAGCAGCGGTGTGGTGTGCGCCTTACGCGCCACGACTGTCCTTTCACATTCCAGGAAAAGTCATGTCCATGAATTAGCTTTCCTGAGTCTAACTGCATATTTATAGTTAGGAGCATGGAAGCGTGAGGCGCCCGCAGAGAACTTTCAGAGCCATCTCTTACAAATGCTCAACTCTTGGCCTTATCCCGCAGAGCTGTCCTGCACAGCCCTACTGACTACTGATCTCCAGATAGACCTATCTCCCATCCACCCGAGCCAGATATGACTCCTTCGCTGAGGATTAGTGCGGTTGAGGCCAAGTCTTACAAGGAGGAGGTCTTTCAGGTCGTGGCGCGCTTTTTAAAAATGGTTTGTTGCTTGTTGTAGGGGTCCATACAAGGATTACAAAAATGGGTTTCATTTTTGCTATGCGTTTCTGGGGAGGTCAAAAAGTGAGTGAAAACAATTT